AAAAAAAACCCAAAAATAAACCAGGAATCCTTCAGGTAACTAAGGATGAATTTTCCTAGTAGAGTCTTGTATTTCTTTTGTTGATGAAAAAGTGGTGAACTTTCGCCCCCTCCACCAATACACCGACAAACAAAATAGATTTTTGCTTTTCAATATCTTACATAATTTCTTTATTTAAAATCAGCACATTTAAAATTTCTTTGAAAATTGATCTGCAACTTGATCATTAAGTCATATGCTGACTGACGTTTTTTCGTACTAATTGTTAGGCCATTATTTACACCCTGAATTGTCGACAAATTTTTCCGTTATTTACCGATCATGACAAGGAGCACACGGCGGGTGTGACCGGTCGGCAGGGGATGGTCACTCCTCTATTGCACATGATCCCACCTCTGTTTTTGCTCTGCTCTCGATTTGTATTGTTTTAATGGACTCTGAGCTTGAATACTGTTCGATTTCTCCATTTTCATTTGTAAATGTTCTCAACTTCAAAAGCATGAGAATCTCCCATTTCGAAAGAAAAGAACAAGTAATCCTTTTAAAGGAATGATCGGCATCGGATCATAAAGACAGCATTATGAAATGTTTTGAAATAAGTTCCTGGACTTTTCCCTTTTATTAACTTAAATTAATATTTTTTCTATGAGTATGTATATGCAGTGTACATATAATTAGCTTCAATTTCACATTATTTCTCAATAACGTACGACGTGTAAAGGAAAGCCATATTAATATGCTTTTCTTAATATACCAAAGGGGGAGTTTCGATAAGGTCACTCAGCAACCTACTTTTTTCCATAAAAAAAAATCATTTCATTTTTTCAAAATTAGTTTAGAATTGAAGATAAATGTGTTATCGTTTGTTATTTATACTTCAAAAGTTAATACGAGATGAATTCACACCGCATCTAACACAGACACATAACACATACACCCTCAGATGCGTTAACATTAGGCCTATGGAAAAACTTAAGAGGGTGGCATTTATAAATCGATGTTTAAAATATGAAGTCACCTACATTTGCCCAGTAGTGAGAAATACTCTTCACACTAATATCTTGAAATATGACGAGTGTCGCATGTGCACCATATTCAAAAAATTGAAAATTGCATTAAAATTGCATATCTAAAATTAGAAGCTCCTAGTTTCATGATCTGACTCTGTAAAAATAGTAAGCCAAAAGTAGCATTTTTTAAAATCAAATAAGAATCTCGGAAATATTAATAACAGAAAACACTATCGTATCCTATCCTCATTTCGATATTTTTTTCGTTACATTTTTAGCTCACCTCCACGAAGTTTGGGGAGCTTTTGTAATACCGTCAGCTTCGGTGTTCCAGGTAAAAGTTTTTGAAGCAGTTTTTTTTTCCAAGTATATTTATGCCCTATATTAATCAGAGTGGTCCGATCTAGTGTGTTTTCTTGTCACCAGACAGGTTTCAGATGCTGTATTTTCAGCTAAAGATGTTTTTAGAGCAGGTTTAAGTTTTTGGAGTTGAGCAGCTATAAATACGTATTGACCAGACTTGCTTCATGATGCATCTACGGATGCACACTACCGGACCTGCTTCAGATGCTGGATCTGACCTACATTTTCTAAATGAGTGAGCAGGTTAAAGATTTTAAAGCAGGTCTCATTCTTATGTAACTAAAAGCCCTATCGTGACCAAACTTGCACTGATGATGCATCTAGGACTGCACACAACAAGACATGGTACACATGCTAGATCTTCCTTACATTTTCCGACTGGCTGAGCAAAAAATAAGTTTTGGAGCAAGTCCATTCCTTAACATTATTTATCATGCATAGTTATTTTAGACTTTCTGGTAAATAGAAATTACGCCCCAACATGCAAATGCCTCCAACTTTCAGAATGAAAAATTAAGGTAATACTCAATGTATTTTAGGTTTTTCCATCACTTGGCTATTCACATAATAACATGTATGTATGGTGATAAAATATTATGACTGTAATTAAGGGATACCGACCCTCTGATAAGAGAGATAACTTTCCAAGTAAAAAATACGAATACTACTCATAGTTTTCATCATCAGAGTTTCATTTTCGCGACCTTGGAGTAGTCAATTCGATCAAACCTGACATATGATGGAAACAAAAATATCTAAATTCAGTAGTAAAAGCCTTATAAATTGAATAAGTTCTATCTCTTTTGAGGACCATTTTAAAAATTGTTTAATGTTTCAAGTACCAAATTTAGAATTTTTATTAGTATTACATTTTTTTCCAATGAAAAAAAAATATTTGTAAGAAAGATAACTCTTGCTAACAGATGCATTCTTTTCTTACAATTACGTACAACATTGTGATATTCTGACTTAGGAAGCAGCGCTTTATTATGTTTTCTAATATAAATTTAATAGGTATGACACTAAATATTATTTTCATATACACCTCATATTTTTAATTTTATGTTGTGATACTAAATCATTACTCTTTCTATCCCCTTTGTTAAAATTTCTTCATATCATGATCCGACATAAAAATCATTTCTGAAAAAATACGCAGCGCTTCATACCTCATACTGTTTTCCATTTAAAGCTGATGCTATAGCTCTTGATGAAAATCAATGTTGGGAAATTTTTAAAAAATGTGAAATTTAGAGCAGAGGGTCATTAGTCCTTAATATTATTGATATTATCAAATACATTGCAATATACGGTAGGTGCTAGGTAAAAAAATATATTATCTGGCAGCCGCCAGATAAGTTTCTAGTCCCTACCATTGAAATATCTGGCGCCCGCCAGATAAAATTGTAGTGATTTTGCTTTAGCGAAATCTACAACTTCTGTTTGTAGTCAAATCTGGAAGTTTCATGCCTTATTAGCAAGGATTAAATCTACACTTTAAACAAAAATTCTCTTTTCATAAGTTTATGTTTCCCTTTAAATTTATGTTTTATTAGATTACATGTCTACACCGCAAGAATTTTATTTGGTGGTTTGTAGTTATTTATGTGGCGGCCGCCAGATAAGTTGCTAGCCGCCGCCAGTTATTTATGATGTGGCCACAGGAAAACTATTTGGCAGCCGCCAGATATATTTTCTAGCAGCCGCCGAATAATTATGTGGTGGCCGCCAGATAAAATATTTTTGCTACCTTGCACCTACCGGCTTCCGTTACAAAATGATGCTCTGAAATAAACTTTTTAAATTCATTTATGTATATATAGCTGTATTTATTTCTTAATCGTATCTATTTTTCTTTTAATTTCAAAACATTTTTTTAAATTCAATTTGATGATATAAAGGTATATTTTTATAAAACTTGTAGTTGTGTAACCTCATTGATGAAAATATATATATTGCATATACCAGTAAATGAACGTTTGACGTTTACCTTTCTTATGTCTGCATATCTTTTCATTTACTTTTTTCTCATGAGAAAATGTTACATATTGATTATAAAGTTTATGTTTAAACTGTCGATTAATTATGATTTTTTAAAATCTTTTTGTAAATGTTTACGTTTTATAAGTCAAATTCATCCTCATGTAAAGAAAAGTCACATTTAACACAACAAAAAGAAATCGCACCTTTAAAAAACATTTGCATTAAATATATACCTTTTCTGAATAAAAAAATGTTGAAATCGGTCAATTATGGCTTTTTTCAAATTTATCCTATCTCATGTACGATTTTGTATGTGTGGCCTTATCGGCCCCACGATTTCTTTTTAAAACGGCCTTGTCGAAACTCTCCCATTGATAAATGATAGAACAAAGTTGTTATATAAATAAAGTATGACCACATTATGTTGCCTTTAAAAAATATTTTTCTTTGGAAAAACATGAAAAATGTAATGTGAACTTTTTTCTTTTTAAATGGGATGAGATGCATGAGATCAAATAGGCTAATCTTTTGAAAAGAAAAATAACTCTAAAGATAAATTTACTATCGAGTTCTTAATTAAAGTTGCAAGGAAATAAAACTTTAGTATTCATGCATGTACCTAGTAAATTTTGTAAACGCTTTTTTTTATTAACTGGATCATAAGCTATGTTCAGGAATATCTCCAGCAAAGTTACTGATAGAAAATAGTTTGAATGACATGACATTGTACATAATTGTTCAAACGAATTATGAGCCGTGTGCAAAATCAATACACATTCTATAATTAGAGATAGTATCATCGTAGGTAGATGTTTGTTTGTTTCCTACCGTCTAGATGGAGGCAATCTGAATTCATGTAATATTATGGCTTAGTAATGTGTCAAGTACTTTTTTCAAATCATTATAGAGGTAAAATTCAAAATACGGTGAAATTGCTTTATAAACGATAACAAAAGTGAGCCGATCCCAGTAATATTTTGAAATATATTATTTTTGAAAAAAAAAGAAAAGTAGTGCAAGTTTCTGGAATCGTGCCGATTTTGCAAATTTTCAATTATGGAGATGACTCTACATCATCATGTGTTATTTTTGGGGAGAGTGTGTCTTTCCCTCTTTCCTTGACCCATAATTAAGTCATGAACGAATACTTCAAATCTGACATTGATTACACTTGTGCTATAAAGGCTAAACAGGAAACAGAAGAAGATTCCTTGGGTATTTAACTTCAACTTTTTTGCGATAGAAACGGCAATTTGCAGAAAGACTTAAACAGGTAATCCAATTCGTTATACTAATTATAGTTTTTAATCATGTGTATTCAGCACTTTATATATATATATCTATCTATCTATCTATCTATCTATCTATCTATCTATCTATCTATCTATCTATCTATCTATCTATCTATCTATCTATATATAATTGAATTGAAACGACTTTTCACGGATTTCTATATCAGAGCATTAATCTGTACTTAACCCTTACACTGAACTGTAAAATATTATTTAATGAAAACAAAACTTTACAGAACCTTTGTTATCAGACCTACTCTCTAGAATACTTGCTAAAATGCCATATTACTTATGAATTATCTTTTAAAGTTAAGATTGAAAAACAATTTCTGAACCAATCTTTATATACAGAATGGAGCATATTCTCCGTCTATCAGAGATTCTATATGTTGGTCTGTGTCGTAAGATAGGGACACCAACAGAAGTGGAGATCAGAAGGGACGTGAAGGACGTTGAGGAGATGATAAGGAAACCTGTTACTATGCACAGAGGGATGGTGCAGATGGATAGTGGTAGTTATAGAGAGGGATTTAGGTTTACATCATCTGACAGGGATACAATGATGTGGGCTTTTAAATATAAACTTATAACTGACATATCTCAGTCTAGCGTTTACAATACATCAAAACATCACATAATACTTATTGAAGATTCCGAAACCCCACCAGGATTTATTAGACTACGGCATATGACGTACACACAAGAGAATACCATGTTATCATTATGTCTTCTTCCCTTCAACTGCGGAATATATTTATCTAGTTCACTCTTTATGGAATCAGTTTTTAATTTCTTTATTAGAGAAAAACATTTTCAACAGGTGAATTGCAGAATCAATGGTCCTTGTAATAGTGCGTGTGAAAGAACGATTGAATGTGATAATGCTTTTTGTTTTGCCACTATTTATTGGCCTAAACTTTTAAGAGTTTGGGTTGACAGATGCCGGAGACATACCTGGCCGCCTGTGCCTGTGTTGAAAAATATTCTACGAAATGGATATCACTGTATGCCTGTTGGAAGTAAAATAATATCGACGTCTAGCGAATTAGAATGGAGATTGTCGTTTTCTCAAGCCGAACAACAGCTTGTGTTTATCATGAATCATACACAATTTCTATGTTACGGTCTTTTAAAAATATTTCTTAAGGAAGTTATCAATTACAGGAAGGAACCATTACTTTGTTCGTATTACATGAAAACCACAATATTCTGGATAATTCAACTTGGACATTTAGGATGGTACCCAAACAGTTTACTGGATTGCTTCTGGAAATGTTTTAAATATCTCATTCATTGCGTTTATTTTGGAGTTTTCCCCAATTTTTTTATTTCACAGAACAACATGTTCATAAACAAAGTAGTCGGTGAAGCACGTGATTCTCTTTTTCAACAGCTTTATCAGTATTACAGAATGGGTGTATCCTGTCTACTGCTGAGTCCGACTCTCAGATCAATCCTAGAACCTGCCCTCATTAGCCCTTTTTTTTGTACTATCCTCTGCTGAGGGAGACTTTATATCTGTTAAAGACATAGATAAGTGTTGCCTGTCAGAAATATTTCGCCTTGTATTTTATAATATAGGGCTATCAGATTGTTATCTCCACCTGAAATCAGTTGATACACTTTCTAGGTTATCACTCTCACCATACCAGATATTAACATTACAGTATTGTGAGGCTGAGACTCTCGTTCATTTTGCATTCACACTGGCTAACAGTGCTTCATGTTATACACATAAAGAAGCCTACCTTTTGAATAGAATGATTTGTAACTTGTTGCAACTGGCAGCAAAGCTAGGTTCTGTGTCTCACTTACTTTATCTTGCATTGTATTTTTACAGAACAGGGAAATATGATAAAACACTACATATCATTTATCTCACTAAACAAAGACTATCACAGGTCTGTATAATGTATTACGATACTCCCGACAGGCACAGGTACAATCAGGCTGTACGTAATCTCCCTTTGTCTAGAAAGATGATGAAATATTGGGCTGACAACGTGCATTTACTCAACTTTATCCCATGTATTGAAGAGTTAAGCTTAGAACAAAATGGGATGTTAATATTACATTTATCACCGTTTCTTACAGTAGAGATGTTGTCAGTGTTATCTCACTATAGACTAGGTAATAGATCTCAGTGTTCACAGTCACTGACAGATCTACAGACACTGCTGCTCTATGACGATCGGACATACGTTCCCTTACGTTTCAGAGACCTATCCTGGCAGGTACTTGGTATCTGTCAGCATGTTGTGGGAGACTTACACGGAGCGTCCCAGTCTTATGAAGAGTCGCTCAGACAGGAACCCATCCACAAAATACAAGAAGCTACATATACTAGAATAAGATGTGTTAAAAGACAATTACACAGAAATACACCGTCATAGCCATGTTTCTAAATTAATAATCTGAAGTGTTTTTTTTTAAATTATAAGTCCACTAAAAAGGTAAAAAATTTCTTGTAGCTTGTAGGACGTGCAATGGATATTAAAGATTAAAAGATGGATTGAAAATGAAGATTTTAAATAATCTTTTTATATGATTCAGCATTGTTTTTTGTCTTTCAGTTTTTCTTTATACCTTCTTTTTTAAGGTTATTGTTATGATATAGGTTGTCAAAATACATAAAATGTTGTGGTGATTGTTTCATGTAGGACTGGGTATCGGCTTGAAATTTCATATCGCATGTACTGAGAAATTCATAATTGTATTGCTACATGTCTTGCAATATTTTCAATAAAAATTAAAGTGATTCTTTCTTCTTATTAACTTCAAATTGTATGCAGAATGTACGTAGTAACATATTTATAAATACACCCCCTCCCAACAGGGATAGGTAAAGCTTCCCCTAGAATATCAAAGTGCACTCTGTGCCTTCACTTCTCTGAACTACCAAAATATGACGGCATAATGGAAAATGACGTCAAGTCACTGCCAACTTGAGGTGTTATGACGGGGAGAGTGTCATGAACTTTACACTCTATTTCAAACTGCATGTAAAAAGTCTAGATAGCTATTTCACGGGTCGTGAAAGTTTTTTTTTAAATCTTATATGTCCGAATATTTTAAAAATACATCGCGTACATATCCTTGATTGAAATTCAGCATGTTCAAAATGCTTACGAAAAATATCCTTTTGAAATGTAGTCTGTTGATACCCGTGGTTGGAGGTAGAATTTATTTTGTGTGTATAAAAGAGTCTGGCGCAGGTGATTAATGAGGATTAATCTGAGATGTTTTGTGGAAATTTGTCAGAAGAGGTTGTTCTCTAAAATGAATCTTGCTTGGGGAAAATGTGTGATGGCTTTCTTTTAATACAGATTACGATATTGTGTAGAAAATACCCTCAAATTTCTCGCGAAATATTTTGTAATACACAAGTAATACTATGTTTTTTCCCAAGCGCATTTCGGGTACACAGGGAGAAGATGAGTTTATTTAAGTAACAAAATATCAATAATTATTCTGTTAATCGATCGGCTGTGCCGAAGAGATTTATGTGAAACACTTCAAAAAATCATAAATGACCGTCACGTGATCAATAAAGCCATGTGATATCATAACAAATATGCCGAGGGAACCCTCTATATAAATTGGAGGTATTTAAGTACAATATTTATAAATTATAATCAAAACCGACCTCATAATGAAATATTGTTCTGAGTGCATTTTAAAGCTTTGGGAAGCTTAACATAGCTGCGAAAAAAAATCCTGTTGATTTAATTACAATTATGCACCGATATGGGTCCACACACTTGCTTTCGTCTTACTGTTTTGCACGATCGCAAACGTTTCTATGCATTTCCCGTTATAATTTATTTAAGGTATTCCACCCCTAATAGGGCCTTACTTTATATCTTTTAATATCTGACACGTTTATACATATAAAGCTCAGATATTAATTTAAAGTATTTTTAGATTAGAAAAATATTTACTTTGAGAATTTTTCAAAAATGTAATTACCTAGGCAGCAAATAATAAACAAAAATTGCATTTGGGTCTATAGAACAAGTTTGGTTTTTTTTTTTTTTTTTTTTGAAATTCAGATACTAAGAATATCAAAAAATGCTTTGGTGGAAAGAAGATTAATTAATTAGGAATAGAATAACGATTAAAACAACTTTTTTTTACCGAAAGATTTGTTTTAAAATTGATTTTTATTGATTAAAAACACAAGTAGATAATTTTTCAAGGACAGGTCAGGATTATAAATTATATGTAGGAATTATCGATAGTAGTAAATGGAAATTATATCTAAATGTCTGTTATATATTCAATTTTATTTAATCTGAGGCTATTAGGGATGGAATACTTATATTATATTCAACAGTGTAAAATAAATTTTCCAAGTTAACTGATGCTGAGTTTTTGCGCATACCTGGCAATGTCTCATTACACAAGACCTAGTAAGTAGTATCCCAAGAGTCACACAAACACCAAGTTTGAAATGTCATGCTATTTATTACACATGTATAAATGACGACAGATAATTATGAGGTAAATCTGATAAAGGGGAAATCAATCTTACACAATTCATCATTGAAGAAGAGGCCTATGGGCCAAAACCTTCATCTGAGCCACTTTGGCACTTCTGTTTCGTCTTCAGATTTTTCCCTAAATACATGTACTCCTATGTTAAAATTTTGATCGCCTTTTGTGGCCCCATTCTGTACACAGGGGACATGCCTAAAAAACTGAACCTATACAACTAGATGATGTTTCTATAAAATCATTACTAATCATGGCTTTGCTGGTCTTAAGAAGAGGTTTTTGAAATCCGTTCCTGTAAGTTCCTATGTTAAACTATGATCGTCTATTGTGGCCTCAGCCTTACTCTGGAGTTCAAGATTTCAACAAACTTGAATCTACACCACCTAAGGATGCTTCCACATTAATATGATTCATCATGGCTTTGCTGTTCTTGAGAAAAAGATTTGTCAGATTTCCCCCTATATAATCCTAAGTAAAACTTTGATTCCCTATTGTTGCTCCACCCTACCCCGGTGACCATATGAACAATTTACGATCTACACTACATGAGAAAGCTTTCACCTAAGTTTCGGTTTTCTTAGTCCAGTAGTTCTTGAGAAGAATATTTTCTTAACATATTACAATGTAATACTTTGATCCCCTATTGTGGCCCCAATATTCCCCCAGGAGACATGATTTGAACAATTGATAGTCTACACTACTTTAGGATGTTTTCGAATAAGTTTCAGCTTTTCTGGTCCAGTGGTTCTTAAGAAAAAGTTTTTTTTTCAAGAGTTTCCATTTTTCCTATACATTTCAATGTAAAATTTATTATAATCCTAAGGACCATCATGATCTGAGCAATTTTCACTACCTCAGGATTCGTCAGCTTTTCTTGTCTAGTAATTCTTAAGAAAAGGATTTTTAAAGATTTTCCCTATATATTTCAATGAAAACTTTGATTCCCTATTGTGGCCCCCAGGGACCATGATGTGAACAATTTACTATCTACACTACTTCAGGTCAAAATGTACGACCCTTTTTTTTAACTGAAAAATCTCTATATTTGTTATTCTCAAGAGAGCTATATTCAGTTGAGAATTTGTAAAATCTAAAATTCTTTTATTTATATACCTATGTCACTGCAAGGGAAATAACCTGTTAATTTACACAATTTTATATCCTTTTATGTTTCAAAACGCCTTTATTAGCACAAATTTTATGACAAAGAATATAATGTATAATAATTATGGCTTTCTCAGGCTGCAGGATTGATGTATTTTATATTTGAAAATTTAAAGGAATCCAATGGTAATTTTTCATAAACTTTGAATGATAAAAATACATAACGGAAGTTTCTCAAACAAAGTCAGCAATATACATGTATCTAGAATATTTAGCTTTAACAATGTGATAAATGTGAAAATTTTGTAAGATTTTGTGATAAAATCAAAAGGTGTGTAAAAAAATATATTGATTTATGTAGAAAATGACAAAAAGTAGCATATCAAAAATAATTAATTTATGTACTTGCTATTCAAAATCAGTCAAAAATCTCTGGAGGGACTCTAACTTACTTGTTATGATTTATTTGTTATAGCTTATTTGTTGTGACTTATTTATTATGACATTTTTTTCTGGTTATGACTAAGTGTAACATAGCTATGGAGAACGTTTATCGTGACTTATGTTTCTTTGAAAATGATATGTTTAGTCCGAATATAACTATGTTTTTTATTCATTAATTGTAGTTTAATATCCATTACACTTGTGATTACTGAATTCTTACCTGTTATATCTTGTCACTAAGTTGTTATAACTTAATTGTTATTTGTTCATTCTTATTTGTTATTTCTTGTTACTTAATAGTTTTTTTCTTAGTTCTTTTTTGCAACTTCCAGTGTGCATAATGATTGAACACATGAACATAACTTAGGAAGCCCTGGAGGGACACTGACTTACTTGTTATAAATAACTTACTTGTTAAATGACTTTTGTTGTGACTTATTTGTTTTGACTTCTTGTTGCTGGTTATTACCAAGTGTAACGTAGCTATGGAGAATATGTAGCTTGGCTTAGGTTTATTAGTAAAACGATATGTTTATCCCTAGTTTAACTGTGGTTTTTGATTGATTAATTGTAGTTTAACGTCCAGTACTTAATTGTTTTCCGTGATGTCTTGTAATTTAATCGTTATAACTTAATTGTTATTTGTTCATTCTTTTTTTATTTCTTGTAACTTAATACTTATTAATTAATTCTTATTTGTAACTTTCAGTGTCCATAATGATTGAACACATGAACATATATAGTATTTTATATTCACATTAGTAATAAATTTAAAGGTGGTGTACAAGATGTAGGCACATATAGTTTCAGAAAAGAAGAAAGGAATATTTTGCCTTTTAATTTATTACTAATGTCAATATATAATACTAGTTATGTTCATGTGTTCAATCATTATGGACACCGGAAGTTACAAATAAGAATTAAGTAAAAAATGTTAAGTTACAAGAAATAGCAAATAAGAGTGAACGAATTACAATTAAGTTATAACAATTAGGTTACAAGATTACGGAAGCCCTGGAGGGACATTGACTTACTTCTTAGGTGTTTTGACTTAGTTCTTATGACTTAATTGTAAATTCTTGTTATTTTATATTTGTTATCTCAAGTTTATTTAACCCAAAACGTGGCGTACAAGATGGAGGCTATGTGTAGTTTCAGAAAAGAAAGGTGTATTTTGCCTTTGAATATTATCTCAATGACAAGACAAAAAAGTAGTTATGTTCATGTGTTCAATCATTATGCACACTGGAAGTTGCAAAAAAGGAATTAAGAAAAAACTATTAAGTAACAAGAAATAACAAATAAGAATGAACAAATAACAATTAAGTTGTAACAACTTAGTGACAAGAAATAACAAATAAGAATTAAGTAATCACAATTGTACTATATATTAAACTACAATTAATAAATCAAAAAACCATAGTTAAACTAGAACTTAACAAATCATTTTCAACGAAATGTAAGTCAAGATACACGTTCTCCATAGCTACGTTACACTTAGTCATAACCTGAAATAAAAAGTCATAACAAATAAGTCACAACAAATAAACTATAACAAATAAATCATAACAAGTAAGTCAGTGTCCCTCCAGGGCTTCCGTTCAAGATAAAACAGAAAAGAATTCTGATAAGTAATCACAACTGTACTGGACGTTAAACTACAATTAATCAATCAAAAGTCACAGTTAAACTAGGGCTAAACATATTATTTTAATACTAAACGTAAGTCAAGCTGCACGACCTTCATAGCTACGTTACACTTAGTTATAACTAGCAACAAAAAAGTCATAACAAATAAGTCACAACAAATAAGCTATAACAAATCAGTCATAACAAGTAAGTCAGTATCCCTCCAGGGCTTCCGTACTCCTGGGCTTCCGTAATACGAATAACTTTTTTGTCTTGTCATTGAGATAAAATTCAAAGGCAAAATACCCCTTTCTTTTCTGAAACTAAACGTAGCCTCCATCTTGTACGCCACGTTTTGGGGTTAAGTAATCGTGTGATAACAAATGCAAAATAACATGAATTAACAATTAAGGCATAAGTAATAATTAACACTTGTACCACATTTAAAAAAAAAGATCATATCTAAGTCTACTTACGATTTCGACTGACTTGTGTTATTGGAAAAAAGTGCTTGTTTTCAATGAGACATGTTGATATGATTTGATTTTTTCATATATTTAGAACGTCAAAATTAAATAATTCAAACCTTATGTGAACTTCATTTATTTTTTTTTTTACCTGTTACCTGTTATCAACTCTCCTCGTGAATAGTGGCAAAGGGCCTTCTTTTTTTCTTTTTTACAGTAATTGAAAATGTGTTACAATGTTAAAGAATTTGTACATTTAGAATAGATGCCATAAAAATCTCAATTATTTAAGTACGCGTTTTTAATTTTATATACCAAGGTTGGTTATAAATAAAAAGATATTGAAAAAAAGCAAGTGATTTCTGCACTTGTTTTTCATTGGTTAAAAGTCAAACTCTTAAATGCAAGTTTTCGATTGATAATGATTACCTAATGCTTTTTAAACTTTATCATTTTGTTCCCTCTTTAATTTGGTATATCTAGTCTGATGATTGTTTGATTTAAAAAATGTGGATTAGTTCTTTGAATGCTCTTTTGTCCCTATTCGATGGACAGATATTATAAAGGTGTGAGTTATGTACAGATTAGGAGTCTTGTGGACATTAGTAAAGGTTTGATTTTAGAGGATAAATTGCTCTTGAAAAGCACAGAAAAAAGGAAAATCTGTGCATCTGTGCATTGCCTCAACTTACAACAATAACAGGGAAAGTCTACACACTATTTGAGCAATATAGGACTGTCCCTGTGTATTTGAACTTTGTTAAAAGAAAATCATATTTTGACTTCCTGCTGTGTCCTCTTCACTGTTAATTAGAATCGAAGACAAGACGGTGAGTAAACTTTTTTTTTGCACTTTTCGATGAAATATAATTCTGGTCGGCGTATAAGTGTAAATGGCAAATCCTAAATATTCAAACAATAATGATTTCCAAACCTTTTTTTGAATTTCTGTTTTTTGATTTTTATATTATCTTTTTAATTTTTAATGTTTTAATTTTGGCTAAAGTTGATTAATTCAGAAGGAAAGACAAGGAAAGAAAAAAAAAAGATTTTTTCCCTTACGAATAATGTAGATGTAAAAGACTGTTTAGCACATCAGGTCTAACATTAATTGATTGTTCAGTGACCTTGCCCTGTGTCCATGATTGTAAACTATCATTGATAATGATAAGTTTAATAATTATGCACACAATGGCATAGTCACCCAACCATGAAGCTTGGGCTTGGACTGTACCAAGTGATTTGGTAGCAGGAAAAACCCTTTGTCCGAGGTGTGAAACATGTACTTACTATGGTACAACCACCTATATTTTACACACTTTATTCTACATCAATTTTCTAAATGCATCTATTGACATTATAACCTTTTAATATTCTGTCAAAAAGATGAAAATATAATTTCTTTACATTGTGCAAAAAATAAATAACTTTGGTCAGGTAGTTTATGAAATAATAAAAAAGTATGCGTTTTTGGAACAACCCTCGTAAGTTGTAATATCATATTGTTTTTAAAAAGTGAAAAGTAATGCAAGTTCCTGGAACCGCGCCGAGTTTGCAAATTTCAATTATAAATTGGTAGATGAATCTTCATCGTAATGTGTAGACCAGCTTTTTTTTTGGGGGGGGGGGGGGGGTGTCATTCTCCTTTCCTTGACCCATATCTAAGTCATAAAGGAATACCTCAAATCTGACATGGATAACACCTGTTCTATAAAGGCTAATCAGAAAACGAAAGAAGATTTACCGGGTATTTCCTTTCAATTTATTGCGATAAAGACCGCCATTTGCAGAAAGACGTTAATCAGGTAATTCAGTACTTTACAGACAACTACTTAGTATTATCTAATGTGTACATAAAATCAGTCTATATAAATACAGTTGAAACGAATGAAACGTTTGACTAATCAGGGCCTAAATGTGTATTAATGTGTATATACTAATCAGTCTAATCAGAGACATACATTGTATTTATGTTTCTGGTATAACATACAACACATATGACATACATGTATCAACAAACACACATTCTAAATGATACTAACTTTATTATATTATCCTATAACTAAACTACAAATAGTATATAATATTATAAAAACTTTATAATATGTTTTAGATTTACTTTCTAGCATACTTACTACAATTCCACATTACTTATGCATTTTTTTCTAAGTAAAGTTTAAATACAGTTTCTTAATCAATCATTATATACAGAATGGACCATATTCCCCGTCTCTCAGAGGTCCTGTATGTTGGTCTGAGTCGTAAGATAGGGACACCGACACAAGTGGCCATCAGAAGGGACGTGAAGGACATGGAGGATTTGATACAGAAACTTTTTACAATGCATATAGGGATTGTGCAGATGGATAGTGGTAGTTATAGAGAGGGATTTAGGCTTACATCATCTGACAGGGATAGAATGAGCTGGTCTTGTAAATATAAACTTATAACTGACATCTCTCAGTATAGGGTTTACAATGTATCAAAACATCATATTATACTAATTGAAGACTCTGACACCCCACCTGGATTTGTCATACTACGGCATATGACATCCTCTAAAGACAGTAGCATGTTATCAACATGTCTTTTCCCCTTCAAATGCGGATTATATATATCTAGTTCTCTGTGGAGGGAAATGTGCTTAAATAACCTTGCCAGATACAAATATTTCCAACAGGCGAATTGCACAAATCATGGCCCTTGTTATAATTATTTTGAAAGAACAATTGAATACGACCATACCGCTTGTTTTGCAACTATGTATTGGCCTAAACGTTTGGGAGTTTGGGTTGAAAGATGCTGGAGACATAACTGGCCGCCTGTACCTGTGTTGAAAAATATTCTACGAAACGGGTGTCACTGTGTGCCTGTTGGAAGTAAAATAATATCGACGTCTAACGAATTAGAATGGAGATTGTCGTTTTCTCAAGCCGAACAACAACTAGTGTGTATCATGAATCATACACAATTTCTATGTTACGGTCTTTTAAAGATATTTCTTAAGGAAGTTATCAATTACAGGAAGGAACCAATACTGTGTTCTTATTACATGAAGACCACGATGTTTTGGATAATTCAATTGGTACATGTAAGATGGTGTCCAAACAATTTACTGGATTGCTTCTGGAAATGTTTTAAATATCTCATTCATTGCGTTTATCGTGGAGTTTTGCCCAATTTTTTTATTCCGCAGAACAACATGTTTATAAACAAAGTAGTCGGTGATGCACGTGAATCACTTTTACAGCAACTTTATCAGTATCACAGAATGGGTGTGTCCTGTCTACTGCTTAGTCCGACTCTCAGGTTGATCCTAGAACCAGCCCTTTGTAGGCCATCCTTTGTATTGTCCACCGCTGAAGGAGATTTTACATCTGTTAAAGACATAGATAAGTGTAGCATGACAGAAATATTTCGCCTTACTTTTTCAACTATGCAGCTATCAGATTGTTATCTCCACCTGAAATCAGTTGATACACTTTCACAATTATCACTCTCACCATACCAGTTATTAACATTACAGTATTGTGAAGCTGAGACTCTCGTTCATTTTGCATTTACACTGGCTAACAGTACTTCATGTTATACACATAAAGAAGTCTACTTGTTAGACAGAATGATTTGTAACTTGTTGCAACTGGCATCAAAGCGAGGTTCTGTATCTCATTTACTTTATCTTGCATTGTATTATTACAGAACAGGGAGATATGATAAAACACTGCATATCATTTATCTCACTAAACAAAGACTATCACAGGCCTGTATAATGTATTATGATACTTCCGACAGGCACAGGTACAATCAGGCTGTACGTAATCTCCCTTTGTCTAGGAAGATGATGAAATATTGGGTTGACAACGTGCATTTATTCAACAGTATTCCATGTATTAAAGAATTAAGTTTAGAACAAAATGGGATGTTAATATTACATTTATCACCGTTTCTTACAGTAGAGATGTTGTCAGTGCTATCTCACTACAGACTAAGTAATAGATCTCAGTATTTACAGTCACTGACAGACCTACAGACACTGCTGCTTTATGATGATGATGGGACATACGTTCCCTTACATTTCAGAGACCTATCCTGGCAGGTACTAGGAATCTGTCAGCAGGTTGTGGGAGACTTGCAGGGAGCTTTACAGTCTTATGAAGAGTCGCTCAGACAGGAACCTATCCACAAAATACAAGAAGCTACACATACTAGAATAAGGTGTGTTAAAAGACAATTACACAAAAATATACCATCATAGCCACAAAAGTTTATAGTGTTTCTAAAATAATAATCTGGAGTTTTTTTCCCATGTATAAGACCACTTAATAGAAAATGTCACAGACACAGAGAAAAACAGGCCGACTTAGAGCAGAAGAGCTTTATAACACTAATGCAAAAACTTTGAATGAAACACAACGGGATGTATTCAAGGAGCAAATCACCGATCTCTCGGACAAAAAGTGAAAGAGAACTGCTATCACAAGAAAATTATGAATGTATATATACAACGAAGGACTTCTCCGATGTACAGGACGTACATGTATACATAATTCATTGCTCAGCCCTGAAACAAATCCCCGTCCTTCTAACAAAGAAACATTTAATGACAAGTTGATAGTCTTTGATTCTCATGAAAGAGTTCTACATGCTGGAGTGAATTCTACAATTTTCAAAATACAGCAAACATTTTGGATTCAACATATTTGCCAGTCTGAGAAAGAAATGTTGAGAAAATATGTGAAAAGCAAAAGGATAATTGTAAAGGCTTTTTCCCGCGGCGGATCCTCCACTGTTATCAAAGGACGGAGTTCGAGAAGAACCTCCATTTACTATGACAGGAATTGATTTTTCAGGGCCTCTGATTGTGAAGGAAGTTAACAAGTCTCCAGGAAAAGTATACATCTACTTGTTTACATGTGCCGTTACTAGAGACGTTTATATTGAGTTAGTGTAGGATATTACAGGGGAGATATTAATCAGAGCATTTTGGAGACTTATTGCATTTGGTCGCAGATCATGGCCAAAAGTCGTAATTTCAGATAATATATCTACTTTCAAGGCAGCAGCATTAGATATAGACAATATTTTTCGCTCCAATCGAGTTCAGAATAAGTTGTCATCTTTATATATAGTTTGGAAATTCATTCCTGATACAGCTTCCTGGTATGGTGGATGGTGGAGACGTATTATTGGAACAAAATCTACAATCAAAAAGGTATTAGGAAAAGCCCAAGTCACATCATCGGAACTCAATACTTTGCTAACAGAAATGGAATGCATGTTGAACAATAAACCCATTACGTATACGTTCACAGATCTTGAGGACCCACAGCCACTCATATCTTCCCATCTTCTATACGGACGGAGTCTGGATGTATTGCCTTACTTCAAGCCGCCGGACGAATCTTTACAGCCATTCAACATGAAAAGTATTGATGTATGCAAAAGAGTAGCTCGACAAAGGGATGTTCTTAATCACTTCTGGAACATATGGAGAAATGAGGATTCGACGTCTCTTCGTGAGTCTCATCGTGCGGCCGGAAGAACTGTACAAGATATTAAAGTTGGAGATGTCGTTCTTGTCCACAATGGAGGAAACAGACTTTTATGGAAACTTGGCACTATCAAAGAACTGATATATGGAAGAGGCAAATATAAAAGGGTAGCAACTGTAATGATTGATACTGGACTTATAAATCGCCATTTAACAAAGTTATATCCACTGAAAGTGTCATTGAAAAATGGCCTGCTAAGATAACGAAGAACGACAGTTTGAAATATTTTTTTTGGCGCTCCCATTATGTTGTGAATTAGAGACGGTGTATTAATTAACTGTGCTGAATCTACTGTTTCTTCGTGTCATATCTTTATAACTGAATTAAAACTTAAGTACAATCAATAGTTGACTGATTTCCCGTAATATGATGTCATTATTAACTCCATGTCGTTTGTGACATCTTCATAAAAAGTTTAGTAGTTTAAATTAAACAATTCAGATGAACAGTCGTGTTGTGTATTCTTAAGCAATATTTCTCCCTCAGTTGCATATTCGAGATTGATTTTCCGTTTCCCGGAATGGCAAAAGAGTTGGGATTGGCGCTTGATGGTATATTTTGACAAAGTTAAACACTAATACTGCGCAGTTTTTCATTTGGGATGAGATGAAACCCTATGAACATTAATTACATAAACATTAAAATAGTAATCAAAATAGGCGGAGAGTTATGTAAATTTATAAAATTTATTGGGAATCATTCATGAGGTACCACACATGCATTAGATACTGGGGTTTTTATTAAGGGATTGGAGATTATCAATCAGTGATATACAGTTAAAAGTCCAAAAACGGATTTTTAGATATTTAAAGCTTCTTACTTGAGTGTCTATCTCAGTTTCTATCTCAAGGTTCACGTTAAAACATAGCAGAAGCATATATAATTCCTCATTTCTCACCTCGGATTCGGGCGTTTCCGTAAGAAACATGCAGGAGCTTATATTTATTCTGAGGTTAAAACAACAAATTGGCTTTCAGTTATCAACAGATTTATTAAAGCATGAGTCTTGTTGATTTTTTTTGGGGGGGGGGGTGGGGTTATGTCGTATTGAAGGAGGGTGGATGGTCAAGTCTGCTGCCTCACTGCATCTGTTCGAATTCGATAATGATAAACTCGTTTGTCTTTGTGGATGTCTCGTTTCGTTTACAGCCTTCAACAATCGGTGCCGTCCTATTATGAGTTTTTTCGAAGGGACAACAGTAAGGGGGAAAAACAAAACAAACAAGCAAACAAACAAACAAAAAAAACAACAACAAAACAAAAAAAAAAAAAACAAAACAAAACAAAACAAAAAACAAACAAAACAAAAAACAAAACAAAACAATAAAAACAATATATATAAAAAAGATTAATCCAACAAAAAAAAAGATATGCGTGTATTTAATAAATTGAAGTATGTTAATCCGTACCATCATTTTTTCAAATGGTATATCTACCTCGGTTACAGAATATTCGTATCCTAGAGAAAAACATTCTCTAATACAGAGGGCATTCGACATGAATTTTTGTTTTACAATTTCTGGTCCTTTCAAAAGTCTTGCAAAATTGTCTTTAAAACAGCTAACATAACCGCTAATGACTGAAAATATACATATATACATATATGTAACAAAGTTTATCATAGAAATATTTGCTGCAAACCAGGAACTGTTTGCGTGGTGGAATTTTTTTGCGAATTTTGAGTTATCACCTCGCGATCACCTCGCGAAAGGTTTCAAAAAGAGGTACATACAGCAGGTTATACGTGTGTTTATGAATTCTTTGACCTCCGCAAAAGTAACACCCACTCAAACGCACTAATATATGGAAGTGAGAAAATTTCTCCAACTGAAAATACCAGTAGCCACGTTTACTGTACGTTTTGGTGAAAAAAATTAAGATGAACTTTTATTAAGACTTTGAAGATTACTTCCATTGGATCCCATAAATGTCTCCAGTAAAACAGATGTAAAAAGGAAAAAAACATATAGCTTAGAATAGGTAACTCAGTGTTGAAAACATACATCAGAACCAAAGTTAGTTGTTTAGATTTAATTCTTTCTTATAAAGATGTCATTCCTCATCGATATAATGAACTTATAATTTATTGGCCAAAATAACTACATTATTTACTTAAACTATAGCCAGACTGTAGAATATATCTAGCAGGCTACATTTCATGACCGATAAAATTTGAAATCTTGTCAGTTATTTTCTTTCGTTACCGACATAAAGAATTATTTATATATGTAAGTGTCAAAATTCACATTTACTATGTGTTTGTTCTTTTTTAGATCTATTATCGGTATGTATCTACGGTAGAGAAATGACTCTTTATATATGCAACTAGTGAATTACCTTGACCTGGTCCCAAGACCATAAACTGAGAACAGACTTGGGTCAAAATTCAAATATAAATATAACTTTTGAAATAATTTTCATAACGAAACATGTTCATCATGTTTAAATTAGAATATGTTTACTTTATGTTTTATTTTCATGTTCATTTAATGACTTCATCTTATACGGAAGCCCACTGAGGCCAGTTCAGAGAAAGAAATATTTGTTATTGCGTTTAAACGCAATAACAAATATTTCTTTTTTTGAAATGGCCTCAACAGGATCCCGTTATCTTACAATGAATAAAAATATAATTTATGAGTAAAAGGACGCAGAAACACTAATTCATTGCCTATATATGTATAATTCTTATTTAGCAGCTTGTTTAATTTCATAATTTTTAAGTGAATCTTCACAAGATTTTGTCCACTTAGGGTTACATGTTTCATGAATACCTTAGGAGCAGATCCTCTACGGAAACTTCAATTCTGTTACTTATCTAGAAAACATGTTTCAGATGCATCCTCCAGAACAAGTCAAATAAGTTGTGTCTTAGCTTGTATGCACCATCCGTGAAAGTTAGGTTTAGGCAAGACTTAAGAATAAACTTGCTCCAATATCTGTAAAGAAGTCAGGTCGTTTGCAGTATCCAAGCTTGTCCATTGATGCATCATCTATACAAATTTGTTTACATTTTTTTGTCGTTGCAAGATTTTGAAATTAAATCTGATTCGAAAATTAATCTGTACTAATCTGGAAATCTAGCTAAGATGCTTCAAAGCACAAGGTATGCTTGGTGATTTCATTACTTTATTCATCACCTAACAATGTCTAGGTTGATTCTGACAAGTAAGGATAAGGCCATATTAAATGATACGTATGTACGATTTAATCTGGTTATGAGAAGCACGTATTTGAAGCAACACCATTAGTATTACATTATTAATGTTAAGTTGGATCTAGGTATTGTTTACAATGAATAATGAAGTAGTAAAATTGCTCCAGAATGTTCAACGTGTAATGCCGATAGTGACACTTATATACCAATTGACTTAGCTCTCCAATTTTTGTGGGACATATTTTATACTTTAATTCTTGATTTGCCTAAGAAGTGATGAATAGCGACCTTCAATACAACTGAAGAAATACAACATATCAAACAACAAATCAATAAACCATCAAAATTCTTAATGTAAAAGAACATACAATAAAGAGAAACCCTTTGAATAATAAATGATAGAAGATCACATATAATTTTATTAAGCACTGAAAAAAATCAAGGTGAAGGGTGATCATTGAGTTGATCAGCGTTTCATCTTATCTTATATGTGAAAGAAAAATCAGAATTGCGTATAATTTATCTATTAGGCTCTTTTTCCCTTTTATATAACAAAAGAGGCTGCCTCTTCTAGCTGAAAGAGCAGACAAACCCGCTACCATTCCCTAATTATTGTTTATAACCCTAGAATTACTTACATATTTGATATTTACAAATCTGTTTACATAATACTGATTATTGATTACTGATATTTACATATTTACTAATATTTACATATTTACTTACATATTACACCCTAAACCCTGACATAACATCATTTTGTCAAGTACAAGTTTACTCTCGAGAAAATAGTTAAAATACCTGTCCTTCCTTGTCTTTGTGAAACTTAATTTATTTAGCTCACATCTAGGCACAAATATTTCATTTGAGGTCAAGATCTAGTAAATGAAGAGTGCCTACAGATTTCTCAAATTTGAGAAACAAATTCCTTTAATAATCTATTACAGTTATGACTAAATAAATGAAAGTGTATCGGGGCATAGTTTTTAGAGAAACTCAACGAGAAAAACAAACTTTAAACTGTCATTTTCAATGAAAAATGAAGAAAATCAGGTATAAAAGTCGGCTTTTTCTCCATCTCAGTCAAAGCAAATGTATCAATTTTGCCTACAGTCTCCCAGAAAACGGTTTTTCATATCTTCTTGACATCTTCTTTAAAATGATATATGATATTAGATTGAATATAGATACACGGGATCCTTTTGAAATGATGAATTCCCCGAAAATGCATCATTTCCTACATAATTCTGCTATAGTCGTAAAGTACGGGAAATAGTAAGTTGAAATCAATTATGATGTCATAATGGATCTGGTACCAAAAAGACAGTCTAAACTCATTTACCAGATCTTGACCTTAAATTGAGGCTGCGTTTGTACTGTACCTTATTCTAAAGTCCTTTAGGAAATTTCAATGTTTTCTACATCAGGCAGGTCCAATGGAAGGCCTACATGTACTTGTTGCTTTGAAACGAACTTTATTCTGGTTTTTTGTTTTGTTTAGATTTGATTAAATTTGTCTAAATTACATAAAGTTTTGAGCATATCAACAAATGACGCTTACATTAATTACACTCTCACATGTATGTGTTGTTGTGTGATATAATTTGTGTATATTGCGCATAATTACGATAGAACCAAGAGTCATAACAGGTGCACTTAGAAATCAGTTAGAGTACATTGTAATAAATATACCTAGGAATGTAATTTTGAAAAAACAAAATATTTTCTTCACATTTCTTTAATGGCAACAAATGAAAAGATATATATATATATATATATATATATATATATATATATATATATATATATATATATATATATATATATATATATATATATATATATATATTAGATTTTTATGTAATATATATCGAAGAAACATGTAGGACTGTCACAATATCTTTGCAAAATGCCTGAAGAGAATTTAAAATATCAAGACCTTAAAGAAGAAAAACAAGGATTTTTTTAACGCACCCATTGGTAAAATAAATTGATAAGAGGTAGTAAATACGATTTGCAATATTTATGAACCATAAATTATATTTTAAAAACGTTTGTTGTGCAATATGTATGACTTGTTTGAGCATAATATTTCTTTTACCCAATGTTATTGGTCAAGCAACTTGCTGTTTGTTCAATCTTATTGTTAACACCGATTATTAACCTTTATATCGATCGAGTTAACTCTTGACAGAAATTTATCTGAATCAATTTCCAAAAAATTATTTGATTGAGTTTTGTGAAATACTAGTACATTTTAACCTGTGAGGAGTTCGAAAACATCAAATTCTACTTACATGTATTAATAAACTGCTTGCACTCCATATGAGTGTGAGAGGACTTGCGGGTGTGTGAGAGTGCGTGAGGGTTGTCTATGTTCGATTGCGATTCAATATTTATGTGAGGACTCGAGAAGAAATATAACGAATATTCAGGTAGATAAACTAAAAGATGTAAACTTGCACATCAATAAAAAATAAATCATTCTTCCTGAAATAGCAAATAGAGTATAAGATTAAAAAAAATTAATGTATTATTTACATTCTTTTTATGGTATGTAACACTTTTGATAAAGTATGTAAAACGTAGAAACGTATAAGGTCACTCCCTTTTTATCAAAATGCCCCAAGAGAATTTCGAAATACCAAATACCTCACTGACGACAAACACAGAAGGCTTTCTTAATATGTCCAGTGTGTGGAAATGAACCGATAAGGGAGGACCGATAATTCCCTGACAACGATATCATTTGTAGCAAGTTCCGGGCTTTGTGAACAGCATGGCGGATAAATTTTATTTTCTTCTCGTTGGAATTCTTTTACAGATTTCTCTCGTACTTGGTAGGTAGTTACGTAACATAAGTTAACCCTTTTTAAAATTTATTTGTCTGATCCATGCATATTTAAAGAAAAGGACCCCCCCCCCCCTGTAATCCATTTTTGATAACTTTGTTTGTACATGAAAACCGATCAATTTTATCGTTTGAAGTCAGAAAGGGGTAGGGGACAGGTTCATTTTTTCCCCCAATGTCGCACTTTCGTCTAAAAAATTGCAAGAAAAGATAACTGCATGCATATCCAGAATCATTGGTAATGCTATTTTCGTGGTGAAATATGATTTAATAGGTAAACAATTTTTACATGATTTAATAGACGACAATTTGTAGGTAGAAAATCTTGACTGTTTATTTGAAATTCTTAAAAACAAGCTTGACATCTTCACTTAAGATACCATCAAATGAGACAAAATAGAAATTCTCCAGTTTGAGCAAACGTTAACGTTGATATCTTATCATTGATATCCAATGGAGTTATTTGCACATCGATATATTGTCGAAACTAATAAGGCGACACGTCCCTTTGAAATCTGTTCATACTAGTACCTTGAATAGATGATTGCCATTATACTGATTTTAAACATAAATATAGGAAAAAAGCAACATTTCTAAATCTGTGTTTTCTTTGACGTTTTGAATAAAAATATCAAGAAACAGCAAATCAACAAAAGTAAATTTATGGAGGTTAAAACATGCAGCAATATTTACATTTGCTGTGTTTTTCTACTAAGCCAGCACGCTTCATGAAATATGCCTACGTGACAAGTCTGTGTGATTTACACACCAATAACTCACACAAAACTTAAAAACATTCCTTAAATAAACAAGTTGTGGTAGGAAACCCCCCCCCAACCCCAACCCCCCCCCCCCAAAAAAAAAATTAAGGTACTAAAGCAATCTTATTTTGGAACACATAAATAATTTTTCTACTTTCAAATGACAATAAAACACTCAACTGCTTTTTATATTTTGTGAAAATGCATTGTACATGAATTAAACCATAAAGATGGTAACGCAACACTTAATATGAGGGGTTATCAAAAAGTTCGTGGACTGATGCGATAAAATTGATACTATGTAGTCTTTGCTTACAAAATTTATAAGGAACATAAAACAACAAAAGTTTTAGAAATGTTAAAAATTTTACCTTGATACGTTGATAATTTGTCAAATTATTCTAAATTAAAAAAGACATTTTATGATCACCTAGCGCTGTCGCCGTTTAGTTTCATGACGTCCGGCAACGACATTGTTTTTCAATGTCCGCTCTCTCTACCTCATACTCTTATCTTGATGAGATTACGTGGGATTAAGTAAGGTTTTAAACCCTTCTTGTTTACAAGACTTTACAATGTCATGAACAGCCGCTTTCAATGCATAAAATATTGATAATGGATCTATAGATAAGGAAAAATCCTCACTTGATTATGCCAGAATACTTAGCTCGTTGGAGTTCAATTTCTACCACACATGATCAACGTCCCTTCTCGACGTGGCTTTTTTTCTGTAAGTAACCCGTTTAAACATTCCCTAGGTCTATACCAATTTTTCTAGGTGCGAAACTTTATAGAATGCTGAAAAAAGAAATCCCTCCCCCTTTTTGACGTCATTTTCAAGCCCTTAATTGTCTGGACACTCCATATAAAATTTACGATTAAATTTTATAGAACTTACAAAATGGGGTAAAAATTGCAAATTTTACGGAACATGTATGTCGTACCACATGCCTGAAATAACGTTTTTTTGGATAACAAATACTCATATTAAAAAGTTTCTCTCATTACACTCGGGAAGAAAAAACGTCATATTTGAGGTTGCGCCGCCTGGACATACATGTACCATTGCTTACAAAAGTATTAACAAATTATTAAAAAATAAAACTTATGATTTATGGTTTATTCTATAGATAGAAAAGATAATGCTAACTAAATGTATTAAAATTCATTGACGTACCTAAAAGCGGTTTAAATTTTATGGCATTAGTCCACGAACCTTTTGATAACCCCTCGTACATCCCTATCCAGATCGTTACTGCAAATGTTGTTGAAGAATCATTTCTTAAACACGTTAAACAACAAATAAATTTCAGAATAAATTTCAAACTGGACCCAATCACAAATCTTAATACCAAGACTGATATTTCTATAAAGGGTTGTGATAAAGGGTCCTATTCAACAGGTTGTTTGCCCCCCCCCCCTCCTTCACACACACACACACACACACATACGCATGTATATTGGATACGCGAAAGATGCTAGGGATATTTAATTTTTGAATTACACCTTTCTGGCTGTTTCGAAAAAAAAATACATATACATGTACCTCTCTGTTACAGTAAGCGATGCAAGTTTAATTCCATATGGGTTTTTATAGATTGGTAATTTTTAAGTACCAAATGTCTTTTGCTTTTTCTCCCTCTCTTCCACGCAAAAGTGCTATTGTCCATCAAGCTGCTATTTTCTCCAGACATTTTATAATAAACAAGATGTAATTCCTATTTTATCTATTATATTAATTAATTGAAATCTTAGCATGAATTTTAATTAGAAAGTTTGAAATTAAAGCTATCTAGCTTAAATGCTGCCATCAAAATGCTATGATCATTTTCAAAATAAAAAGTAAGAAACTCTTATTTATGTTGAAAATTTTGTAGACCCAGAATATCAGCCAGAAATGTCAAATGTCGTGTCAAAAAACGAACCCGTCACTAACAAATGTGATGTTTGTATTCCAGGTTATCAAGCATGTTACTCGGATAGCCAGTGTCCTCTTTCCAACTATCACTGCTGTACGGGTTCTATTTACTGCTGCCCGTGGGGGTCAGTCTGTACCGGTACCATCAACTGCATCAGCATAGGGTAAGGAATAGGGTGTTACATATTACCAGTGAGTATATTAATTAACCTTGTCAATATGCCCCGAAAAGAAAATATTTTACTCTTGAAATGTTTTTCTGTGATGAATTCTCAATAACATAAAAAAGTCTTATTAAAAAGGTATTCCACCAGTGGCATGTATTCCTTACTGTTCCTGTGTAGGCTAACTTCAACAGGCGCGAAGGTTCACTGTTCATGAGGGGAAAGGGGGGATACCCACGAAAAAAGATCAGAATTGTGCTATTTTATGTAATGAAAATGAAAAAAGTTTTTATTTCGGTTTGCTATTTATATTACGTTTTTTACACATGTATTCTGGTCTAAGTAATTGTTTGCCGTAGAAATTTTCTGTGAAGTTGAAAGACATCCATGATTTTGACCGGTCAATATTGTAATATACACATATTTATAGCAATTATGAAAATAGAATTATCACGACCACTTAACAACATTAAAAATTTTTAATCCTTTAAAAGTCCTCCCTTTACAATGATTATGTAGTACGGAAACGTCCTTCATGAATACTTTGTTTTACGGCTTTCCTAATAAAACAAAAATATATCCCGAAAAGAATGTTTGTATCATTGTTGAATAAGTAAAATGCAATTTGCTAAGAACATTTTTTTTTTAAAATTTAACATCAAACAAAATAATTGTCTTATGTTCTGGTCATTCCCCCTCCCCCTTTTTAACCATACTGCAGTATAAATATTCAATTCTTACAAATTGGGCAGGTCCGTAGGAAGCAATTTCAGTTGGGGGGGGGGGGGGGGACACAGCCATGCATTTTCAGTTGACAGTTGAGGGGGCACTACCAAAAATTTCCTGACAAGCAAAAAAAAAAAAAAAGTCAAAATGGTTTTTATTGAGGGGGCACAAGTATATAGTATCTATGTTTACTATAGTAATCTATATATCGGCAAAATTATTGGGGGGGGGGGGGGGGGGGCACTGCCCCCGTGCCCCCCGGTTCCTACGGCCATGTTGGGCCATGTTGGGTAATGATTTGTAGGCTACAGCCTTTTTGCCTATATGGAATATACGCCACTGGGGGGTGGGGTGGGGGGTGGGGAAGTGGTTGTAGGTGGCATTTTTACATTAAGTTTTATGGATGAAATAATGCATGTATCTGAGATATTTATTTTATTTTACTTGGTCACCTTTAAATTCATTAATAGGAAAACTGTACTAAAATGACTCTATTAACATGTGAAGATCAAATCTTGTGATTTTTTATGCTTTAGGATGAAAAACAAACGCCATTTTGAAATACTTTAAAAATTGAGAAAGATTATTCTTTGTATGAAATATGAAGATAACAAACAGTATTCAATCTCGAAAGTCCAATGAAACGATACAAATTTGGAGCAGAGCAAACACTGACCTCAAAATTTAGAGGTGGGATCAGGTGCCAGGGAGGAGTGAGCATCCCCTGCCGACCGGTCACACCCGCCGTGTGCTCCTTGTCATGATCGGCAAACAAAATCCGGAAAAATTCGTAGAAAGTTTAGTGTATAAATAATGGCCTAAGAATTAGTATGAAAAGCGTCAGTCAGCATTTGACTCAATGATATTTAATTAAAACACCCCCTCCCCTCCCCCCCCCCCCAAAAAAAAAAAAAAATCAATAAATGAATGTTATTTTGAATTTCAATTTTAATTGAAGTCATTTAATTATGTATTTAGTTAATTTTTTTTTAAAATCTTATATAATCTTTAAAGACTGATAAAGATGTTCAACTAAATATTGCATGGTCAGCATTGTACAATCTCTAGATAGGATTTGTACTGGTTAAATATTACATTCAAATATTTGTAATATTTCTGAATTGACGAATTTTGCTTGAGGCTGTCCTTTATGTTTTTATTAAATATTTTATGCCATCTTTTTAATTGTAATAAAGTGTACATCTTAATGCTTTACGACTGCATGAGTGATACAGTCAATAAAATCTATCAAAATAATTTTGCCACCATAGAATAAATGCACTATCATTCTAAATAGCAAAACTAAAATGTTTTACTACATAAAAATATAAATTATGTGTAATGAGAAGCAGGAATCCAATAATGATAAATAATAAAACTTCTAATGAATTTCTAAATGATTCATAAATTGAAAATTCTCGAAAAACATTATTTTAGATCTTTAAAAAGTTAAAATTCTAAATGTACAATAAATTTATTTTTCTCATTATAAACAGAACAATCGTTGGTCCCATAGTTGGTGGAATTGTCCTCATTATAAGCTGCATCGTCTGTTGTATATGTTACCGTAAGTATAATCGTCTGCTACAAATGTTGAAGTAAGTGTGATGTCTGCTGAATATGTTACCGTTAGTATGATTGTCTGAAGTATATGGTACCGTAAGTATGATTGTCTGAAGTATATGGTACCGTTAGTATGATTGTCTGAAGTATATGGTACCGTAAGTATGATTGTCTGAAGTATATGTGACCGTTAGTATGATTGTCTGCAGTATATGGTACCGTAAGTATGATTGTCTGAAGTATATGGTACCGTAAGTATGATTGTCTGAAGTATATGGTGCCGTAAGTATGATTGTCTGCAGTATATGATACCGTAAGTATAATTGTCTGAAGTATATGTGACCGTTAGTATGATTGTCTGCAGTATATGGTACCGTAAGTATGATTGTCTGAAGTATATGATACCGTTAGTATGATTGCCTGCAGTATATGGTACCGTAAGTATGATTGTCTGCAGTATATATTACCATAAGTATAAACTTCTGCTTTATTTGGAATCGGAATTGTGATAGTAGTCTGAACAGTACCATTTTACTTTCAAAAAATGTATGCTTTATAGATTTGTAAATAAAATTTTTCTGTTCAGTTAATTATGTTGCCAGTTTATGTTTCGATACTCTCGTTTGGTGACTTCAAATTCAAACAAACAAACAAATGCCATTCAATAAATATGATTTCTTGGCTAAGCCTTGAATAATGTAATCACATGTATATATGTTCAGGTCATCCAAATCCTTGAAAGTTGCACCCAGTCTGCCTTTTATCGTTGATTAAGCCGAAACAAACCACATTTTACTAAAAAAGGAATATTCTTACTTGTAGGCAGACGTAGGCGCCAGGTGCCACCCCCAACAGTTACCTACGGACAACAACAACAAACTGTACAACAAACTTATGGACCACCTCCAGGTTACGGACAAAGTTATGGACAATCTCAGCAATACGGGCAAGGTTACGGACAGCCTCAGCAATACGGACAAGGTTACGGTTCACCTGTTGGATATTCTCAGACTACAACAGAAAACAGTCAAACAAAGTAAAGCTGTATAAGAAGAAATTAATACTAACTTCCCAAATAAAAACAGGGGTAACTTTAAAATTCAAGAATTACTGAACGTCGAACAAAACAGGTGACATCTGATTTCCTATCTGAGACCATTTGAAGAACAAATCTATATCAACTTTGTTGTTATTGAATATTTGTATGTTTTTTTGTCTTATCGTTCCTGTGTCATATAAATTCAAAAATTTGATGATTGATTGATATTGATATACACTTTTTGTCATTTTGTAAAAGTAAATGTCAATTACTATAGATGCAAAATTGTATATGGTTGATGACAACTTTTCTATGAACATTGATTTTTTAGACGCTGTATTTGTTTTGAATTTAGGTTCTTGTAAATTTGCCAGTCTGTGTCAGAATTTGTCGTGATTTGCCTAGTTCATTTGTATCAAATGATATTGATATTTTATTTTTTTTTAAATTATTGAATGTTCATTTGTCAGTCGTGGTTATTTTACCTCTAATTTTTTTTATATTTTACTGAATAAAATCGTCCATAAAATTTTCTTGAATTTATAATTGTTATCCGAAAAGCATATTTTCATTTTCTATGATCCACTTTTAAGGTCAGCCAATCAGCGTCATTATTGGTGGAACGAACAAAATATAGATGTAGATTATTATTATTAAAAAAGTCAGCGAAGTTGGGGGAAATGTTATTGTAATATAATAAAACAGTTTAAGTACAGTGCACTGTCGTTGAAATCACCAGGTGGCAGTAAATACAATTTACAATATTAACAGTACTGTATTATCATTTCTTTAGGTGTAAAATTCTGGATCTGAGATAGCTGCAGATCAGTTGTTCGCTGGTCTGAAAAAATTGTAATGGACAACCAGAGAGCAACAGTGCCACCCATAGAAAAAAGTGTATATTTATTGTGCACAAAAAGTGCGTTGTTTCTCGATTAATTTCCCCGTATTTTTCAAAATATTACTAAAGGCATGTTAATGACGTATTTCTTACTACTTGAAATACTTCCACAACAAAACTGCATATACAAGTCATTCACGAAGCGCTTTGAACTGAATTGTCTTGCCATTTCTTCAAATCAATTTTTATGTTTTTATCTTTTTTTTCTTTTTCAATTTTAACTTCTTGTTTCACTTTTACAATTTATTTTAATTACTTAATTTCATTTTATTTTGACATCCTTACGACTTGCTTATTTTGATTCTGATTTTTGACTTTCTGTTTCAGCATCCCTAATTTTATTCTAAAAAAAAAATCTAAACGGTACAATTATAATAAATAGAAACGAAAGTTAAAATTAGAAAGTTAAAATTTGGACTAGGAAAGAATTATCTTCTAGAAAAGATGAGTTAGCGCTGTAGCCATTATAAAACACAGAACATATAGTAGATTTCTGATCACTGGTTCATTTTTCTGAATCGATTAACTTTAAATAGGACTGACGGCAATAGCATCATTGAGCTTTCATCAGTCTATCATTCACTGTAATTTCAATATTGGGGTGGAGAATCAAATAAGTTTAAGAGATCGATAGATCCAATGAGCACCTTGTTTTAAATATTTCAGTGTGGCACTGTTTTGTTGTAATCGCATCTTTTTGGACTTTCCGGCTTGGGAAAAAAATCTGTAGAATGGAATCGCATTCCATCAATCGTCACTTCTTAATATATTTTAAGTTATATTGCATGTTGCATAGAAGTTTAGCTCCAGACTCTATAGAGAAGAGGTTATATCGCACGTTGCATTCAGACTCACATGATACATGTGGGAGCTCGAGATCCTCAATACATTTATTTCAATGTTTGTAAAATTGAGGGCTTCATGGACGTTTGCGTAACACATTCGAGCTTGTTTTAAGAACGAGCTTGAGATGGTATAAGAAAAGCTAGGGTTCCTTTATCAATTTTAGGGGAAAAAAAACCCTGATCTCCACAGTTTTTGCATAAAAGGATCTAAGTTACTGGTACTTTCTGTACAGTATAGACGACAAAACAAAATACTTAAGATATGCATTTTCAAATGATAATACGAAACTGACATGGTACTTTTTCCCAGAATGCCCTACGTATACTGTGAATTCGAACATGCATATTCCTGTAAAAAAGAATAAGTAAATGTAGTTGCTACACCTCGAGAGTGCTAGCAAAAATGACAGTGATATAATGAGAAAGTTAGAATGAGTTACCCGGTTGTAACTTCTAATAAAATTAAACAGTGTAGGTCACTGTGACCAAAATTTAGAATGAGACATACCTGTGCCCAGAATGTATAAACTTTTAAAGTTTCGTTATCCTACATGTCATATAGTGTTCAAAATGTACGGCTTAAAGATTTAAAAAATGTTAATTCATATAAATGAGAAGGTAGGTCAGTGTGACCGTCAAATATATGAAGGCCTTGAGGTACACGGACTGACAAGAGTTGATGCTCCTCAACCTCTTTGAATCTAGGCTAAAGATTTGGTAATGAATGAAAATAATTTCAAAATATAGGTCACTGTTACCAACATTGGAATTAACAAATCTTTAAATCTCAATACATATCAGCAATTACGGTTTGGTCATCCTATACATGTATGTCACAGTTAACAGAATATGCTGGTTAAAAAATAATAAAATGATAAGCCAAAACTTAAAAAAAGTAGATCAGACTGACCGACATTTTAGTTGACACACTCTGAGAATCAAAGATACATGTATATTAACTTATTTTAGCCTCTTAGTATCTAGAAAGTTTTGAAAATGATAAGATATAAAATTACGAAGATATAGGTCACTGTGATCTATGCTTTGATTGCCACACCCCAGATGCATGTATATGAAAATCCTTATTACTTGCACTTCTTGTAATATTATTGTTCAATACAAAATGATCATAGACGTAAGCTGATGAATTCCATGATATATATTAAAAACATGGTTTTATCTTAACTGTTTAGGTCTAAAATGTTACAAGAAATACCCTCTCTGGGACCAAGACTAATGAAATATATGGAAATAACGAACAGTATTCAAGCTCAAAAGTCCTTAAGCATACAAAATAGGTGCAGAGCAAACACGGACCTCCAAAGCATCAGAGGTGGGATCAGGTGCCATGGAGGAGTGAGCATCCCCTGCTGACCGGTCACACCCGGCATGTGCTCCTTGTCTTGATCGGGAAATAACGGAAAAATCCGTTGACAATTCAGTGTGTAAATAATGTCCTAACAATTAGTATGAAAAAGTCAGTCAGCATTTGACTGAATGATGAATTGTATTTGCTGACAAGGTCATTGTATCGACCATAGAACTTACGAAATGATGACTTTAAACGAGACTGCTGATATTCTTGTTTCATCAACTTGTTTGTCAATAATTTACCTCATTCTAGAAATTGTACATACATAGAGCATGCTCTTGGTATCGAATCAACTGAGAGATATATACCCCGTATGCAGGTGATGAAGGTATATTGCTGCATAAGTAAGGGAAGTTGACGATTGAAAAGTTAAAGTCATCACGTTTATCATAAGGCTTGATTGTTAGATTACCAGTATCGTCTTTTCAAGTAAAATATCCAAATATGAAACAGATGTGTCAGACTCTGTGGTATCTTTTATCTCAAGCTCACCGGGATGTATCGTATTGACATAAGAATGGAAATAACCATTGTTAATTAACAATACGTCGTCGATATATCTAAATGTCGAGTTGAAGGCCACAGCAAGTGTTTTCTTCTTTTCACGTGTAAGATTTTGGACAAATTCTGCTTCATATGAATATGAAAAGGGTCTGCTAATAACCGGGCGCAATTGGTACCCATGGGAATTCCAATAGATTCCAAAAATGAACCATACTACTTTGTTCTGGGTATCTTGAAATTGTGGGGTTTTAATTGAATATAATTTAATTGGGGTTTTAATTGTATATAGTTTAATTGGCATTGTAGATTCCAAAATTATTATAAGAACTAAAATATTATGCAGAATCTTTTTAAATAGAGGTCCAGACAAAAATCTTTTCAAAAACTGAGGGGCGAACTTCTTTACGACGAGCAGGAGAGACTGTCTAGTAAACCAAGATGAACTAAGACCATGCAGATTTATAAGCAGATTTGAGATTTACAAAACATGCCAGAACATGCAGATCAACAGAAAGAACCATTGAATTTACATTCCATTTCTAACAGGCCTTGGAAGAAAATTGGATACAATCTATTCGAGTCTGATGGGCCGGACCACGTTATTTGTGCAGATTATCTATACACTTTCTTTTTTAAGTTGACAGACGTCAGGCGAAACGAGGATAAAGAAGACATATTGAAAAACAAAAAAAGCAGCTAGCCCGCCATCGAATACTAGTACCCGAGGTTTTAATTACAGACAAAAGTTGATCATCCACATTAAAGATTTTCAAGATTTTGTTAACCAGTTTGAGCAAAATTCCTCTTAGCCACAATGACTGAAAGAAAGCATTTGAAAAATAGTTGAACAATTGATCTACCGTCGCCCGCGTGGCGCAGTGGTAGAGCGTCTGCTCTAGAGTCGCGGAGTAAGCGAGTTGATTCTTACGTCGCGGGTTCGAATCCCACTGTGGGACGTGGAGACCGGTCTTCGGATGAGACCGTATAAACCGAGGTCCCGTGTCGCAGTAGGTGCTGGCAGGAAAAATCTCCCTCCCTGTTCAATGGCCCTGAGTGCCGAGTATAGGTCAAAATTTGCAGCTTCCCACCGGCAAGTGGTGGCGTCTCCATATATGAGTGAAAAATTCTCGAAAAAAAGCTATTTAGATCGAGAAACCAAAGCTCTTTCGAAACCAATCAGCGAAGAAACGATCAAAATTCACTTTTCCTGGAAAAAGAAAATGTGGACAAAAGCCATGGTTCAAGAGTCAACATCCGTTCATATGATATAATATAAGTACTCAGGGGATACGAACGTCGCAGAAATAGAAGACACGCAGCTATGTTAAGGCTGTCCGAAGGCTTAATATGCATTAGATATATACTATTTTATTCTAGCTATGTTTTGATTTCAATTTGTAATAGATGTATACATACACAGTTAAGTTGTAAAGAGAGTTGAATAAGGTATTATAAAAAAGCATTTTTGTGATATCACATGTCTGTGTTG